CCGAACCCTCAGCCTAGGCTGGCGGAGACCTGCACCATCGTCTTGGCGACGGCAGGCACTGCAGGTCGCCGCCGCTCTCGGCGAGAACATTCCTGCCAAATGGAAATACAGCAGGGACGGCCCATGGTTTATGCGATGCTGATAGTGGTGAACTATTGCTAGACATGGCCCAAGGCTCAGTTTTACATAGTGCGAGTGAGCTCCGCTGGTGTCATCGTGACAACCGCCTTACCCCTCACTACAAACACACGAGACCCGACGCAGGGGGTGGAGAATCCGCAAGATACACCGCACGAACATGGTGTTCAATTCGTCGCGACTACGGCACAGGTAGTGGCGATCCAAAATTAGGGCAACCCCTGGAGGCTTCTTTTGTCACATTCCTACTGGGGAACGAAATCGCCAGTCGATTTCGTTCGTTCCTCGGGGCCGACCTAGCGTCTGAAGATGACCTTCTCGTGCGACGGCGCTGCTGTCATTTACGGAGGGTGCCGGAAAAAACTCTTGACGAAAGCACTCCACCTTACGCGCTCCAAGAGAATAACGAGGACATACCAACCACTCACCGAGGTTCAACGTGATCTCCTTCCTGTACTCCGTAGGCTTTGTCGCGGTCCGGGCTGTGTGTGCTGAGAACTCTGGCCCCAAAGGTAATGCTCTCGTGGCATGCGCGCATGGCGCGGCGAGTTTTTTTGTGCTGGCCCCTTCCCGGGTACCGTGTCTGCTGAGCTACCATGTACGGAGCCCCGTGGGGCCTTTTTTTTTGCTTTTTTCCACCGCGTGCAACCCGGGTGAGCCGCGCAAAGTTCCCACGGTTTTGGCATGTTGGTGTACCCTGACATTTCATAATGAATCACGGGGCCTCCGGCCAATTCACAGTCCCGCCGACGCAAATCGTTCAGGCTTCAGACTTCAGACAGTGCTTGTGACCATGGTGCTGTACGTAATCGGGTTAGGTCTTGGCGACGAGAAGGACATTACCGTGCGAGGGTTGGAGGCTGTTCGAGGCAGTGCCAAGGTGGTGCTGGAACACTACACTTCAATCCTAGGGGTTGACAAAACCAAGTTGGTGAGTGGAGTGGACTAGACTATTTGCTGATAATTTTGCGGTGTTCAAACGTTCAAACCGGTCTGCACCATCACACCTAGAGGTCACAACTTGCCTGCTCGTCCAGACACGTCAGCACTGACTGTGCCCGAGGCCAATGTCGGATAGTGGACGCTGTGATGGAAAAGAGAGAGGGAGTATTGTCTGGACGCTCCTAATGTACAACTATGATACTGCTGTATTCACAGCAGTGCAGTTGAGAATTTCAGTTGAGAATGAAGCTCAATGCTTGGGATACCCAGACTGACGACTGGAGACCCAAGGTTTGGGCCGTTTTACAGAAAGCCTCGTGGCTTTCCATCCCATCACGCACGTTCCTGCAGCATCCATCTCTGTTGCCAAAACACATGCAATCTCGAGTTCACGTTCGACCCTGCGCGTCTGCCATGTTCCATGTTCCCGGTGTGCGTGCGGTCTGTGCACTCCTGTGCACCTCATCGCGTGCACCCTCAGGAGGCTTTCTACGGCAAGGACATCGTCTTGGCCGATCGTAATGTTGTCGAGTCGGAGGCGGACAGCATCTACGCCACCGCCAAGGACGAAGATGTCTCCTTCCTTGTCGTCGGAGACCCGCTCTGCGCCACCACCCACACAGACCTCATCATTCGGGCAAGAGAGTTGGGGGTCAAGGCGAGTCCACATCCACGGGGGATATTTTCCACGTGTACTTGGTTGTTTTGTGGATGTCTATTGCACGACTCCGTGACGGGGTTAAGCACATAGGGCCCCTTTTTGACGCTCTTGCGCTCGACCTTTTTCATGCAAGCTGGAAATGTTATGCGTTGCTCGGTAGACTTACCGCCGACGTGTTTCTTCTTCTACTGCCGCAAACGTTTATCACGGCGCAACACATTAGTCTAGTCCTGCATCTCGATAAACACGCCTTTATGGGTGCTGTTTTCAAGCCCTCTAGAACCTCATTCTTGATCCTCCTACACTAAACAAATATTTTTGCCGTGCTCATGTGCCTCTTGTTGGAAATAAAAATCAAGGTGGAGGTGATTCACAACGCGTCAGTGATGGGCGCTGTGGCTTCGTGCGGGCTGCAGCTGTACAACTTTGGCCAGACGGTCTCAATCCCGTTGTGGAACGAGAATTGGGAACCTGACAGCTTCTATGAGAAGATCAGGGTAAACAAAATGGTGAGAGCTGTGCAGCAACCATGAGCGAGCACAATGCTACTGTAAACGCACGTGCAGTTCTCCGATTCTCCGTTGTTGTACCTCAACGCCCATCTTTCTTTTGGACTCAGCGCCGTATACGAAGACAGCGCTTTGTTGGCATGTTTCATGTCAACCCCCGCGGATTGCACGCCGTGTCCAAGCTATCAATAGTGTCGTTCAGGATGAGTCCAGACGCCTGCCACACAATGCCATGTTGCATACCACACACGTTTCCACCTCCATACTTGACTCTGCCTTCCTCCTGTGCATTATTGGAAGATATGATGCCAAGCACCGTTCCGACATTTTTCCGAAAGAATGACGTTTCCCTTTCCCCTGGCGTTGTACAAAACATGACGCGTCTTGCCTCTCTAGAACGGGATGCACACGCTGTGCCTCCTTGATATCAAGGTCAAGGAGCCAGATTTCGCTAAGATGGCTCGGGGAAAGGTGTCCTACTTGCCTCCCCGGTTCATGTCAGTAAGTGGTGTTGTATACTAGATTCTAGATACCGTACGTGCCTTTTTTGTCGTGATCCAGTGCAGCCTGTTGCCGCGTCCGTTTTTTTTCGCTCAAGTCGGTCAGTGATTGTTGCGGCCGGCTCACTGGATGACCATTTTCTGTTTTGTTGGACGACCTTGCGGAGCAGCTGCTTCCCAGTGCGCGGAATTTGTTGGTTATGACGTTTCTCTCCTCGCTTGACTCCCACTCTTGCTGGAACATCCAAATACATGCTGCATATGACACAAGATAACACACCCCCTTGACGAATTTTCGAAGCGATTTCTGAACAGCAGGAACAGTCACAGTGCCGAAAACGGCGGCGTTGAAACCGTCTTGTCGAGAGATTTTCGAAAATGTATCGTATCGTTTATGCATTATCTTCGTCGTGGAGTAATCGAGCTTTGAAAATCGGACCAGGGGGTGTGTTATCTTGTGTCATATACGGTAATATGATGTACCGTGTAGAAACAGCACGGCAGACGGGTCTAGATTGTTGTTTGGGGTGGTCTGCTCCAAGCTTCCGACTTCTGCACCCCTTCACCGTGAAAAAAACATGATCTGGGCCCGGTACTGCACTGGGTTTTCCGAAAAGGTGGGTACGGCGTTGGAACAACTCCTGGAAGTGGAAGCGAGGAAGGGAGAGGGGGTGTACGGGCCGGACTCGCAGTGCGTGGGGCTGGCTCGGCTGGGACAACCAACACAGCAGATTGTGGCGGGCACGATGAGGTGACCAGCGTCTCTCTTGTCGTGGTTGGTTGTCGAAGATGATCCACGGACTAAGCTCACTGTTGAAACCTTTGGTTCTTGGAGGTCAAACGATTTCTTTAGCAGTCGTCGCTGGCAAGACATTTTTCCTGACACGAAGGGAATGCACGTTCATACCGTCCATGGCAGCTTCTCAAGCTGCTGTGCCGAAACAGGTGCTGCCAGGAACTCATCGTGTTTGCTATTGTGTGCTTGATGATAAAAACAACTGCTTGCTGAGCCATGCATGCAATGTTCGTTCTCATGCATCAACACGTGGGTTCTTTATCACGTCGTTGGCGTTCATCGCATCCCGCTGTTGTGGTGGTTCCGCCGTGTTCTGCTTGCCTGCTTGCCTCTTGGTCGTTCTCAGTTTTCAAATCCTGACACACACCAGCTTCCATAAGTTGCGCTGATCTCTCCCAAGTGTTTTTTGCTTCACGTGGCACGTTTGCTGGTTCTCGTTGTCGCACTCGTGGCTCTCTACCCTTCTACCAGCGAACTACGTGGCGTTGACTTCGGGGAACCGCTCCACTCTGTCATCATTAACGGGACCACACACCCGCTCGAGGACGAGCTACTCCAGTGGTACAGGGTGACGGACTCAACAGGAACGACCGTCGAAGGGACAACGGTGGCAGCTGAGGGGGAAGAAGCAGCAGCGGGGGGGGGGGGGGGG